ACATCCAGTGCACATAGAATAGATCACCTCTTTAAAATCAGACAATTTCCCCCTTAAGGCTGGATTTTGGCTTCCGAGACCTCTTCAAAGATGGGCAACCTCTGGTTCCTGTTTGCACAATGACTTCATCTGGCCACACCCTTAAATCTTATTTTGCCTTCCTTCACTCCCTTACCCATTCCATTTACTGCCAGGAGAGAGTAGACCTGTATAAGCTCCACTTTAAATTCTAGTTGTAGTGTACACAATGCTGACACACTTCTCCTCCAATGTGATAGTGACCAATTAGTGCCAATTGCCAAGCACCAGCACTGTAACATCCTTTTTATTAAATAAGAGTTTTACTACATTCAGCCGGGTTGACATTTTGCAAGCATTAGCCAGCCTTGTGGCATAAGAAAAAAGGTTATTCTTTGGCTGTGTTAGAAAACCATGGTTTAATGGCACTGGACAGCTATATCCAATTACTGTCTGATCTTACCGAACAGAATGGTGAAACAAATGTATGGAAAAAGAGGAACCACCATCAACGGCTACTAGCAAGTTACAGAAGTTGTAACTCTTCTGTTAACATTTGATCATTTTCTTACAGGTGAAAAGTAATGCTGTACGTGCTTTGGGGAATCTGCTGCATTTTTTGCAGCCATATCACATTCTGAAGCCCAGGTTTACCGAAAGTATTGAGAGTGCAATCAGAGCCCTTATCTCTACAGTTCTTGGGGAGAGCACTATGAAAGTAAAGTGGAATGCTTGCTATGCATTGGGAAATGTCTTCAAAAACACAGCTCTTCCACTTGGTAAGGGTGTAATTACTGTACTGTACTTGTAGCATACAATGCTCAAATTAATCTGAACCTGTGAAATTTTACAACATGTGAGGCCCTGTATTCTCTCTGGACCTAGAAACACAGCTCATCCCAATTTTATTTTTATTGTTTTGTCAATGGTAAAATGTTTTTTTTTTCTTTGCTTTAAAAAAACAACAAAAAACTTTATTTCATGCATATGTATGAAATAAGGCATATATGCATAAATATACATATGTAGGAACTGAAGTGGTTCGTGACCATAGGCCTCATGCATAAAGTGTCAGGGGAGAGCAGTTCTTTTTGCCCATATCAAAAGATCAGATTCTCCCTTTTCTTCCTCCATACTGCACAAAGTATGAAAGGCAGCATATGACATAATGAGGCTTTTTCATGCATTCAGTGCAGCCATGCAAGACTATGATTTTATTTACTCAGCATAAAATCCTGTTCTTGGGGTCCATCGAGGGACACAGGAAATCTTAAACTGCTGCCTACAGTAGAATTAGACACTCTGCAAACAAAAACTGTAGGTTGGCCCACTAAAATCCTTCTTCCCAGTTTCATCGCACACTGTATTCAACTCCAATGTGAAGTGAATGAAAGACAGGCTTCAGCCCATCGGTCATGTTCCCTCTGACATGTTTCACGCACATTGGGCTTAATCATACTGGCTTGCTGAACATTAATCAGAAGGATGGCGCTCACTCCTATGCCACTAGAGGGAGGACAGGATGGAACTGTGATAAATAAGAGGCATTTGGGACAGGTTTTACTGTGTGAGCTAATGGCCTTTAGGTATGGGAGGAGCATAAATGGACATTTTTAAAATGAGATTATTTTAGAACTATGGAATTTATTTTAAAGGTTAACTACCCCTTTAAGGACAAAGCAATTAAAGTAGACTTTCAGTGAAAATACTCTGCATTCCTTTGTTGATTTCTTTGGTTATTTTAAATGGATTCTTAGTGCGCTATCTGGCATAACTACAAATTTTTCAAATAAATGAAAATGGTCTGAAATTCAAGTAAGCTTTACAATAACTTAACTCAAGTAATCATTCAAGGTTTTCCTTTTAGACCATTTCATTTTTGTACTAAAGTGGTAATGTATCATGAGATGCTGTAATTGACCTAAGAAAATTGATATACATTTCTGTTGTAGGTAAAGCTGTGTGGACTGCAGATGCCTATCATGCACTCACTACTGCTGTGAAATCATGCAGGAATTTTAAAGTGCGGATTAAATCTGCAACAGCTCTCTCAACACCTTCGAGAAGAGAACAATATGGAACAATTGAACAATATAGTGAAATCTGGAATTCTTTAGTGACAGCCCTGGAGAAAAGTGAAGAGACAGAAGATTTTCTGGAATTTAAATACTGTGCTAGCCTTCGTGCACAAATATGCCATGCTTTGATACATATGCTGTGCATGGCAAGCCTAGGAGATTTGCCATGCATTAGAAAGACTGTACTGCAGAAAGGAAGTGTGATCAGGAATTACCTATTACAGTATGTAAAATCAGGAGTAGATGAGACTGAAACACACACTGACAGAGAAAATGTATTTCAGAGAGCAGCAGAGCATATACGCAGTATACAAGAAGACCCATTAGGTAGAAAGGTGATTGCAGAGGTTGCTTTCCTTGAGGATATATTACGAAGTTGTGAAAGAAATAGACGCTTGAACTGAATTTGTGCTTTTGCTCATGCAGGACAAAGCAACAGGTTCACTATTATATAGACACCCCCTTTCTCACAAGCATATATTTGCCTTCCTTTCCCTCCGTGGCCTCTCTGTTCAGCTGTGGAGAGCAAAGGAAATCCATATGTAAGATAGGAGTCTGTGAAATCAAAGCAGATACAGTAATATTGACTCCCTCTTTTGATGGTGTTCATTGCCAAGCACAGTTTTATGAAGTGAGTCACATCCTCCATACCCAGAAGTACTGAGTATTTTCTTCAACTCCTAGTACTGACTAGCAAGGGATTGAAAAAAAAAAGGTGAGCATGTGCCGCTATGGAGGGAGGATTTAGGTAAATGTGTTGCTCAGGCAAATCACAGGTTTGCTATAACAAGGCATTAATAACACTTTTAGACGTACAATGGATTTAAGCCATAGCAATCTACTAGGTCATCTCTCATCAAAACAGAAAGTTTAATGAAAGCTAACTGAGATGGTTTACTGCCCTTTGGACATTGCTGAAATGGCTTATTTGGCAGAGCAAAAACCAAAGCACAACATGCAACTAGCTAGCAACAACCACCTTTCATTGTTCTGATTTAATTAACTGTACAAAGCAGACTTCTGATTTATTTACCGTGTGTTGTCACAGATCATTTTGAAGCTAAAGAAGATATGTCTAACATAGACACTCAGATCGTTCATTTTAATTTGTAGACCGTCTTTCCTTTAAATCATCTTCAACATTCTGGAGGTAACCAATGTCTTATGTTCACGTTGTAATATCAGAATATTACTATATTATTTTTGAGGCTTCTCATGTAAAATAAAATTTTATCTCATAACTGGAAAATAAAAAAACTTATGTTTTACATGTTAAAGTGGAACTTTAGTCAGAAAATGAAGTCCTGCTAGATCACTTCAGGCTGCCCCTTTTGCAGGTATAGCTATGTAAAACATTAGAAATAAGTGTCTATATTTAAAATCCAGTAATATACTGTCTCACCCTGCTCTGCACATGCTCAGTTGCTCTCTATTTTTAGGCACTGCCGAATTTGTAGAGGCCAATCCGATAACTGCCTTAAAGTGGAATTCAATCTTCCTATCATTTAAGGCCTCATTCACATTTGAGCGTTTTGTAGCTTGAAGCTCAAAACTGCTTAACGAGTGAAAACCCATTCATTTCAGTGGCTCCTGTTCACATCTGAGCATTCAGTCGCTAGCAAAATGCCTGTCGTTCCAAAAAGTACATGAGCTACTTTTCAGGAAGAATTGACTGATAGACTTCAATGGAAACTCCTGAAAATGTTTGAGTGTTTTTTTGGGGAATTCTTAGCTTAAATTAACTGATCTCCACCCTAGTGACTTGGCTAAAACAAAAAGCCTGAAGCTTGAATACACATGTAAAGCGCCTGTATAACGCTTCTAAAAACACCTGTGTACACGTGAAAAAACGCTCAAAAAAGCACATATAAACACAAAAAATCGCTCTGCTGAGGTGTGAATGCAGCCTTACAGCCAAGGAAGCTGCTTCTGTTTGATCTGCAACTGCCAAGGTGCTGCATATGTGATCAGTTATGACACCAGTTATTTGATGGTTTAACAGTTTGGTTGAGGACATAAGAAAATGTGACAGTTGGCAATCCTGGCATGCAACTATTTTATTTAACTTAACTGCTTTATAATTTACTGCTGTTCAGGGGCTCTGCGCTTCAGCAAAATGGCAGCCTCCAACAGGAAGAAACAGGAACAATGCTAGAGGCAATTTACAGCACACACTCATTTTGGTAGCATAATTATTTATGTGGAATGTATGTTTCTTGCTAAAGAAGATTATTTTTTTTATCAGATTGTTATGGGTAAAGTTCAGCTATAATGTTTTCATTTTGTTTAGGGCCCATTCACAGTACAGGCTGCGTTGCTCAACCCAATGACAAGCTGAAATCCATTGTTTCCAGCAGGCAAGTTCACTTCAACATGCTGTGAAAATGAAACTTGCGTTCAAATGGAGCATGTTCCAAGTATAACTAGGCATCACTTTTTAAGGCTCATGTCTTACAATGTCTGCGCCATACTGGCCTTCATATATGCCCTGGTCAGCGTGAGGCGAGCCACTGGCTGTATGGCAGGTCATAAGCACAAGGGAGGTGATACTGCAGCCTTTAAAATGCCCCCATCTACTTTGGGGTAGCTTGCAGCATCCCTTCTAAGGAACCTGATACACTCTGGAACACTGCTTAGTTCCATATGTTCCTGTGAGTTTTGCTTGGCTCCCTCCTCTGCATTTATCCAGGGAAGATTTTTCTGCAAGCCTCAGAATTACCAAGATCTCTGTCATGTCTTCGGACTCAGAATGCAGGGGGTTGCAAGCATACTTCTATGCGTTCTCTTTCAGAGCTATTCTCTGATTTGCCCTCAGCTGCTTCTGTCAACAAAGCAGAGCTTGAAGATATTTTGTATGAGTGGAGCCTGAGGGGTGTCCATGTGATATTTACTGATGTTTAAATTTTGGATCTTAACGACAGTAAAATGTTCTGTAAAGACATAAGCCTATACATGCGTAAAATTCTTCATTCTCTTCTAGTTGCCAGTGTTGCAACATATACATATGTGCATAAATGACTGCAACTCAAATCTAAAATTTTCAGTTTTTATTTTACAGCTCTGTACTCATGGCTGTATTATTGATCTTTACACAGCTGCATTCATTGTTCCATAGGCAACAATGCACCTTTGTTTAGATCAGTAAAATAAAAGTGGCATTTTTTTTTTTGTTTTGCATAAGGGCCTAAGGATACAGTTTTGGTCCCTATTGATGGAGTGCACACACATCTATAACTGGAGCAAATTTCTGACTTTGCTAAAGTTACCAGTAAAAATTGGCCAGGAGCCTAGGTGTGTGCGGACAGCTACAGCTTTTCAAGCTTGTACAAACGTTTGACAGTGGCCGTGGCTGTCTGCTGGTGTTTGGAAGTTTATGCCACAAAAAAACTCACTCCAGATACATTTCTGCATGTGCATTTTCAATGCATTCAGGTGCATTTTTTTCCCTCTGATGGTTTCCATGTGATGCATTTTGGATAGATGTGTTCCGGTGCATTTTTTTATGCAGTTTGCCGCTTTCCAATACAGTTATGTGCAGAAAAAATGCAGCATGTTCTTTTTTTTTTTTTTTTACTTTAGCAGAACGAAACCCATCAATATTATGGGTTATGGTTGGAAAAAAAAAAAGTTACATTCCAGGAATGCTGGGAATGCCAATGGTCACATTTGATCTCAACCAAACTGTCAAACCATTAAATGGCTGGTGTCATAACTGATCACATGTGCAGCATCATGGCAGTTGCAACTCAAACAGAGGCCAAGATGGCAGTTTTCTTGGCTGAAAAAGAGTAGAGAGTTTTTCTCTGGTTAAAGCGATTGTAAATACAAATTTTTAATAGAAAAAAAAAAGTTTATACTAACTGGGAATTGCAGAGTGACCCCCAAACCTCCTCTTCTTGGGTCTCCCGCCAGCGCTCCAGGCTGTAGACGGGCACAGCACTGGATCAATGAGGGCTCAGAGAAGGGCTGCAGGCGGGCACAGCACTGGATCAAATGAGGGCTCAGGTAAGTAAAAAGAAGGGGGATACTGATGCCTAAACATTTTTTTACCTTAATGCAAGAAGACAAAAAATGTTTGGGTTTTATAACCACTTTAAGTTGTGTTAGGAAAATAGGAGTGCCAGTCGAGGTAGCAAGAGAAGGATGTAGGGCCAGGTTGAAATCTCCTCCCCAAGCTTGTCAACCAACTGATGCATAAATGTAGCAAGTACCCTTGCTTGCCCATAATTGGGCCAATAAATGACTAAAGTAAACTGTTTTGTTATATAATTTGCATTTCAAGAAATTTAATCTGCCCTCTTCATCAAATACCCTTAAATTTATGGGTGGGGTTATTACTAGTTTGTTCACTGGATTTATTCTGTGGGCTTTAAATGTGTTCCATGAAAAAACAAGACCTGTACTCACAGAGAATCTTTGATCCTTTTAGTGGAATGTTCCACAAAGGGATCCAAATTTAACACTTGTCATGTTGGCAGCATATGTAAGGAATGGATCCAACATGTGCTGCTAGCCCGCAGAATGGAAACTGGAGAGATGAGGGTACAAGAGAACACGTTTGCATAGGGTAGGAGAGGAACTGTGAAGGAACTTTTTAAGAGCGAGCCCTATTCTAAGCTACACCAGAGTCCACTTTTTAGAAGAAGGGGGTCAGTGAACGCAGCAGGGCCCTGCACAAGCGCACATAAGTTAGGAGTATCTGTAAACAAGAGCACCAACTATGATCAGTAGTTGAAAGAGTAGAGGCTCTTTCTGGAAAACCTCTGGGGCAGCCATTGAATGGGTAAAAAGGCTTGTAAGCAATAGGTAATGCTGGGCAAACAGGACCTTTACTGGGGATCCTTTCTGCCTTCTTATCACTGGTCACATGTGTCATGATGTGCTGGGACAACTGCACATACAGTTGTGTTCAAAATAATAGCAGTGTGTTGAAAAAAGTGAATAAAGCTCAAAATCCTTCTAATAGCTTTTATTTCCATACACACAAATGCATTGGGAACACTACACATTCTATTCCAAATCAAAACATGAAGAAAAATATATCAAATTTTTCAGTTTATATAGTGAATATTAGACTGTTCAAAAAAAAAAAACAGTGTTTGTATTCTTCTTTACAAACTCAAACATTCACTATATAAACTGAAAAATGTTTGAAGATTTTGCTTTCCTTTGAATCACTTAATGAATATTTTGTTGTATAAGCACTGTTTCTGAGAACTGCTGTACATCTGTGTTGCATGGAGTCAACCAACTTCTGGCACCTGTGAACAGGTATTCCAGCCCAGGATGATTGGACTACATTCCACAGTTCTTCTCTATTTCTTGGTATTACCTCAGAAACTGCATTTTTGATGTCACCCCACAAGTTTTCTATTGGATTAAGATCTGGGGATTGGGCTGGCCC